AGAATATATTTACAACGAGGATCCTGCTACATGTCTGTGCTACAATGGAACCGGAACAAATTCTGTTTTACTCCTGGCTTCAAGCGACATCAGCGACGATCCTGGTTCTGGTCACAAACCAGTTATTGCTACTATTACCATCGGCAGCAAACGTATGATACCGAAAATGCCAACTAAGCTTCCATGGAACTTCAAGAAGGCTGGCTGGCCTAGATTCACGTACCTTTTAGAGAACGAACTTCACACAAGTCCCATCAACATCTTGGCAAACCTTGCAACGAAATCACGAATATTATGATCAGATGTGCAAAGAAAACTATTCCCCTAGGTAGGACTAAACTCTATCGAGTTTTCTGATCTAAACACCTTGAGCAACGGAAAATAAACTGGCAAGACCTTCGTAACACTGCCGAACAGACTGGAAGAACGGAGGACATACAAGTCTGGAGATGACATCTTACAAGCTAAACGAACTACCTTTGACAACTTCATCTCAAATATCAACTATCCAATTGATAGCCAACGCACATTCAAATTCCTGGGTAGCCTTCAAAACAATAAGAACAGACCCAAGAAAGAACCAATAATCTTAAACGACAAACTGCTTACCACCGACTCCGAAATAGCAAGGTTCTATTCCCACAAGCAAATGAAAAATCCTTTTGTCAGAAAATCTTAAAGAGATGTAAAGAAATAAGTAAGACAGTTTGATGGTATTAATTACGACACAACAATACAAAAAAGTACTTACTGAACCATTCAGACCTTGCGAACTTAATACTGCGATAAAACAGCTAAAGTGCAAAAGGCATTCTGGCGAAGACGACATTTATTCGAACTTTCTAATAAGAATGGGCTAAAGCCAAGGAAACCGGGACTGTTTGATAGACTTACCTCAACGTGGTGCACCCTGGGCAACGTATACTCATACGGCAAAAAAGTCTATTAATCGGCAGTTGACTTCTCTATGTCATATTCGAAGTCTATAAACCGGCAGTTGACTTCAAACTATCGGCAAAAAAATTCTATTAACCGGCAGTTGACTTCTGACTTCAACGGCAAAGTCTATTAACTGGTAGTTGACTTCTCCGCATACGGCAAAAAAGTCTATTAACCGGCAGTTTTCTTCTCACTTCAAACTACCATGACCCCCCTATATGTCCTACATTCTCATACGGCAAAAAAGTCTATTAACCGGCATTTGACATGACTTCAAACTACAATCACCCCACTGTATGTCAAATTCGACTACTGGACTTCAAACTACCATGACCTCACTGTATGTCATATTCAACCACTTTCACAGTACTCATCTTTCATTTTCTCCGCCTTTTTGTCCGTCTGTCTATTTACATCTTTGAATCACTTTTCTGTTCCCTCTCGACTGTTTTTCCACTTTCTCTATACCTCCCCTCCATGAAGTCCGAAGTCAACTGAAGGGCTAATGATAATTATCATAACCCCTGCCATTTGATATAAATAAATAAATACTCTAGCATATTGTTGATTGCTACCGTATGTCCCAACATTTTTCTTAATTTAAATCCGTTATTACCTCGCTAATAAGTTCACAATTAAAATAAGTTAGCTAGATTCCAGCTTCTATAGCTCGATTTGCTAAAATAACTAGTGACTCAGTGGAACATAGTTAATTGCCGATAACACCAAAACCAGCTGCATACAAGAAAATTCTGCAATTACATGAATTACCACTATATTTCGAATGTAAAAATGCATTCTGAAGTTTACATTGAATGCAAGTAAAATACACGGGTTTGCCTATCACTCCCCTTTGGAAATATTACAGTACCTCAGCGCTCTAAATTCTTGGTCTGTCCCTGGTTTTTGCTAGCACCTGACCAACCACTGTTCCAATCTTCAAGGGCCAAAAACGCAAAATCCACAATCCCCATTGTATTCAATTGTCCAACCTAAATCGAATGGATTATTTCTAAACTTCAACTTGCCAGCCTTAAAGTTCCTTGAGTTGGAGATTAGAGGAGCTAGTGAAGACCTCCACTTCTGGTGGATAAGACTATGACTGCATTTTCGGGGATTTATTTGCTATATTTTTGACAAAATGCTAAATAACAACAGAGGACTGCTTTAGACAAATTATTATTACCTAAATATTCGAGAACGACTATTGGAAAGGACAGGTTTAATAAGTGTTCTTTTGAAATACGGAAGTAAGTGCAAGAATGGTGAAGATGAATTCGGGAATAACGACGTCCGATTATACGAATTTCGAACTTAAAAATGTAGCTCTTTGGCAATTATATTTGACTCATCGGGGTGTGCGATAAACTTACCTCCACGTGGTGCACCCTGGGCAACGTATACTCATATGGCAAAAAAGTCAATTAATCGGCAGTTGACTTATGACTTCGAACTACCATGACCCAATTGCATTTCATATTCGAATAATTCCACAGTATTCACCTCACCTTTTTCCTACCTTTGTGTCTGTCTGTCTCTTTTACATCTGTGAATCGCTTTGCCTTTGTGTCTGTCTGTCTCTTTTACATCTGTGAATCACTATTCTGTCCCCCTCTCGACTTTTTACCACTTGGATGTTCCTCTTCCTTTCTGCGAAGCCTGAAGTCAACTAAAGTGCTAATGCTACCCATCATAACGCCTGCCATTTGAAATAAATATTTGACTCACCAAACTTTTAACTGAAACTGTGTAATGCAATGCAATCTATCAAATTCGGTTTATTGGTGAATTTTGGTCCTACTTTTCGATTTTACCAATTTTTTTCAAACTGGAGATATTCCACCAAGTCTTCTATCCGGTATCAATTTGAAGATATGACTATTAATAATTATTTCATTTACTTTTTTGACAAAATTGATCCTTTATGCTTTCTTTAAACTCTTTTTATAATAATGTTTTTTGCATAAGTTTATGATTAAATTTGTGCTGTCCTCATCTGCATATAGCTCAAGTAAAACTGCTAGAATCTTTCGTTATGCAAACGAGAACTTCGTTTCCTTACTTCACAATTGAGATATCGGCTTGTTGATTGTAAGACGCTACCACGACAGGCTGGTCCTTTCTTTCTCTGAGCATTTTAATGAACCTAAAGTGATGAAGATTTTTAATGGTATCATACAGGTCGAAATACTCAACTTACCGAACAATAAGTGAGAATTTCTACTTATTTTTAGTGAGTACCATGCAGTAAAAAACAAATACTCATACCATTTTCATTCGCTTTCCTATGACTGCCCTCCCACCAATCATATTTGGCAAAATTCAACTTCCTTTCCACATCAAGTGGCTACCTTTCAAAGCTTATTTTACTGCAAAATGACAGAATCCCGGTTCGTTCTTTAGTGCTTCTCTGCTTTAATATAATTCGTTTTAATGTGATACCACTATAAGTTTTACCACATAAGTAATAAGGAAACTCTAAGATGGAATTGCAATCGTTTTACAGGCAACTTTATTATAATTGAAAGACTTCCATTAGATGTCTAAACTTTAATTATTAGTGAAATCTTACTTTTGGTTATCATCTTGTATTACTTGTAACATGCGGATTTTAGTTGAGCGATGGTTGTTTACGTCAACAAATGAGATTGAAACAAAAGGAAGACAGTGATGATCAAGTCGGTTGTACGTCTTAACTCTCATTTTAGTTACAATGCTGTAGAGCAAGAGGAAAAAATTGATTTTACTAATACATCTCAGTGTTGTCCACTGGGTTTCCAAAGGGTTGGTTGGTGTATTGTTTAGATTAAAGTTTTACAATCTCATTGGGCTGTGCTGCTTCTGCTGGCATGAGTTCGTAAGGAGAAACTTTTTGGATAAGGTAAGCACACTGAATAGTATTTCATGTACCCAATTTGTTGGAGTATTGAGATGATTGTATTGAGGAAGTGTCTCTACATTGCTTATAAAAGAGGACTAAGATGTAATTCTACGGTCGATAATTTTGTCGCACGCAGTTTGAAAGGATATGACATGTTCCTACACAGCATGGGACGCTATCAAAGAGAGGCAAAGCAACCTCTCGCTCTAGAAAGGAAAGTGCGAACATTGTATCGGGTGCCCGTCTTCCAAATGCAGAAGAGTTCATCTCAGCGGTTTATATTTGCTCTGTAGTTGCCTTAAATGTATTCATTAAATGAGCATATCTGCAGTTGGCCTCAAGGAGAAATAAACTCTCTTCTCCATACACCCTATTTCCTCGATACTGTTGGCAGAGCTTAGGTAATGTTGGGAGCAATTTTATGCATGAATTTCAGTCAATGTTAGTATCCACTACAATGCTGTGGATATTTTAATAGCTATTTTGCACAAAGTAATAAATCATATGAAAGTGCCTACGTAGTTTAAGTTCTGTAACTTAAATATTAACCCTTATTTTTTTAAAATTTAAACTCTGTAGTGAAGGAGTTTAATGCAATGCTTTGATATAAGTAAAAATCAGTAATTCGGATTTTAATGCACTTAAAATCCCCAAAGTACCATTACCATTTGACTCGGTTATTTTGATAACAAAAACATGGCCCAATGACCTTTGTAGCGGATTGCTACTTTAGTAAAGCCTGACTGACTCAGAAATCTCTATGGCATATCCCTAAGTAAAGCCTGACTGACTCAGAAATCTCTATGGCATATTCTCCTACATCTAGCTAGACTCCCAGAACCAGCCAAGCTATAGCCCAGCTATAAAGGAAATAGACGTGTACACGGAGCACGTTTATTTATTTCAAATGGCAGGCTTTATGATAGTTATCATTAGTCCTCTTGTTGACTTTGGGCTTCACAGAGGGGTGGAACATCAAAGTTGAAAAAAATTCGAGAGAGAGAGAGAGAACAGAGAAGTGATTCAAAGATGTAAAAGAGACAAACAGACACAAACGCAGAGAAAAGAGGTAAGATGAGTAATGTGGAAGTGGTGGAATATGACATTCAGTAGGGTCATGGTAGTTAGTAGTCCGAAGTCAACTGCCGGTTAATAGACTTTTTTGCCGTATGAGAAGTGATAAGTCAACTGCCGGTTAATAGACTTTTTTGCCGTATGAGTGGGTTGCCCAGGGTGCACCGCGTGGAGGTAAGTCTATCGCAACAACTGCCGGTTAATAGACTTTTTTGCCGTATGAGTATACGGTGCCCAGGGTGCACCACGTGGAGGTAAGTCTAAATATACATTGCCCAGGGTGCACCACGGAGGTAAGCCGAATGAGAATACGTTGCCCAGGGTGCACCACGTGGAGGTAAGGTGTGAGTGTACGTTGCCCAGGGTGCACCACGGACTCTTTTGCCGTGTATACGTTGCCCAGGGTGCACCAGTTTAGACTTTTTTGTCGCATGAGTATACGTTGCCCAGGGTGTTAGACTTTTTTGCCGTATGAGTATACGTTCCCCAGGGTGCAGTTAAAAGACTTTTTGCCGTATGAGTATACGTTGCCCAGGGTGCACGGACTTTTTTGCCGTATGAGTATACGTTGCCCAGGGTGCACTACATGGAGGTAAGTCTATCGCACACCCCGGAGCACGTTTATTCAGTACGGGTATTGCGGACAAAAGTGTACACGCAGGGAGCTACTCATGATCAGGATGGGGGGATTAGGTTAAACAGAGGTTGATGATTGGCCACTGTTTGTACGGTCGCTGCACACAGAGTTGTATGGCCGCACCTCCCAATCCTGGCGAGCAGACATGCAGGCATACGATGACGCACAGTGCGATAAGGTGTCCCACACCTTTTTCCTTTACAAAGTTTTCAATTTAGTTAAGTCAAATTAACATGGGCCCTTAATATTAGAAATTATAATCGTTGCCTAATTAAAGATCAAGATGAATATGTATTATACGGGCGATCCGAATAACCATTTTTTGTAAATATTTCATCGCAAACACTTCTTTTTGTTTCTTAAACGCTCTTAGAAGCCGATTCTAATCTATCTCGAACTTATTACTTAAAATGTTTCTATTTTGCGAAAATCAGAAGTACTTGAAAGGATAACATCATTCGAGCAGCAAATATAGGGTTATCCGAAACGCAATTTAAACCCTACACATTTGTTTACGTAGACAAAGCTGTTCCAACACGTGATGTAGGCGTAAATGATGAAACCATATTTCCATATTTATATTACATATTATTATAAAGTTAAAGAAAATATTTTTACTGTGATCGATCGAGTATGCAAAAAGTGTATTCGATGAACTTGAGGAACCGTCATCGTATGCCTACACGCCATGATTTGGAGGTGTGGCCGTACAACTCCATGTGCAGACAACCGAACGACCAATGGCCAATCAGAAGCCTCCGTTTGTTTATTCCAATCCACCATGCTGATCATGACCAAACTCCCCGCGTGTACACTTTGCTCACAATAACCCTACTGAATAGTCGTGCTCCGTAGTATACGTCTATTTCCTTTATAGCTGGGCTATAGCTTAGCTAGTTCTAGGAGTATAGCTAGATGTAGGAGAATCTGCCACAGGGAATTCTGAAACAGTCAGGCTTTACTAGTGTAGCAAACCGCTACAAACTCATAAATTCATCCCTTATGTATTAAACTGCCTATTTTTGACTTCTTCTCTCAGATCTGGTCAAGTAGGACCAGCTGTAAAGAAGGTTCCACAACCAACGTTTATGCACCAGTCAGACAATCATTTACTGCTTTCAAAACTCAAAATAAGTGAACTGCTGCCTGAGTTGCAGGCCTTCTCCTTTGTATTTTTTATACATATATAGCCCGTTATCAGGAGAAATAAATAAGGTTAAACCAAGGGAAAGTGCATTTTAGGAAGGAAGAAAATAGAATATGCCAAATGGAGACGGTGGTAAGCTTATTTGGATAAATTAAGATTTTGTGTTGATTGCGCGAATAGCAACCACTAGAGCTCCTATCTCTGTGAATGCTATAATCAAAATAGCTACTCCCAGGATAATTAAGCTTCTCTTTAGTGCATTCGACACAGCTTCAATGCAACCCTAATTGAAACGAAGGGATGTTATGGAAACGGAAGGTGCAAACCTGTGTAGGATATCCCACACAATTGGCCTCTCCCGCCTTACAACATCGTTTCTGAGGTTCCATCCAATCATTAGGTCCATTAGCTCCACAACATTTAAACTAAAACAATAGGAGTACACAATGAGAAATTCAACATACTTTATTCTGCAGTGTTTTGAGTACTTCTTCCTTTTCTCTATTTTCGTTTCTTTCAACTTCTCTAATGGTTTGGACAAAGAGGTCATACAGAGATGACTTCACCTATTTAAATGAATGGTCAATTTTATCCGAGGCCAACCTTCTCATTGTAGACAATAAGTAATATTCCACCAGTGAATTCAAGAGCAATTGTTATTCCTACTACAATAATGAACTTAATGATGTAAATTTCATGAAGAATATCAAAAAAATCTAACCATCATCAGTAGGCATTTGTTGAGTTTGATTGCTCCAAGGAAGCCCAAGAATCCAAACACAAGAGCCACAAATCCCAAAACTGTGATGAAAATGGGAATAGCATAGGCTGCGTTCGTAGGTCTTAATTCATTAGATTTTATCAAAAGAAACATTCCAATACCCGAAACGACACCACCAGCAATCTAAGAGGAATCAGAGAGAAATGACCAGTGGCTTACAAAAATAATGAAATTTGTGAAAATGAGGAGACCTCGCAGACATTTTGCGTTGCACAACATGACTGAAAGACCTTTACTCAGGATACTGAAAAAAACAAGAGTAAAATGTGCTTAAACTGATTTGATTAACCAATCACAAGAAAACTATTTTTCCTTGTTTTTTTGTTAATGCAATTTATATTATGCAGTTAGTGTGATTCCTCAAGCGTTAGGACCATAAAACGAACTATATCTTGATAATTTGACTTGCGTAAAGGTAAGATTTATGTAGGAAACTGCAATTTTGAACAATTCCACAGATAGATCTCACATTGATGGGAATGATGAAGAAAGAATACATTCAAGAGTTAAACTCATTTATAATGTTCTTGTAAGTTTAATCAATCGATCGAGGATGCTGACCCAGAATTGAGGGTATATAATTTTACTTACTAATTTTAACTGGAATACATCATTAGTAATTCTAATGGATACTGATGGAGATGACAGGCTAAATTTGTGGGAATCTTTGAAGATAAAGAGATTTAGTTATCGTGTGACTAACAAATGAGAGCTGGGTTCAATATTTTATTTCTTTTGTTATTCTGAAGAGCTTTCAAAAAAATTATATTTACCTCACATTTTGACCAGAGTAAGATTATCAATCAATACTTACGTTTACCCATTTACAATACCCACATGATAGCCTACTTATGACATATGAGTAAAAAGTCCAGTCGGAGTTCGCTCAAATGGAATTTTTTATAGTTACGTAAATGAAGATATTTTATCTTCATGAGAGATTTTAAGCATGATCGTTAGAGATATTCGGTTGGCCGAAACGTGATGAAAGCAGAAAGTGGTAAAAGAGGAAATCCATGTGAACTATGGAGATTTCCGGAATATTGAAGTGACCTGGTGTCAGAAGAGATAGAATCCTCGAGTTTAAGGAAACTGTGCTTAGTAAATATTATTCATCGCATTCAAGAAGCCAATCAACTTATGAAGTTACAATCAATTATGTCCGAGTAACAGCTCTTCTTAAAATATTCCCTTAAACAGAGAAACAGGTCCACCTAAGTAGATGACACCTTCAATAATTCGAATCGTTTCTTTAATACTTTAACATTGTATGAGGTCGCTTTGAATAGCAGTTGAAATTACTTTGTAAATCCATAAGGAACTTTAATTGAATGCCAGGCAGCCAACCAGCAGTCATTTTATTGCCACATGGAAGTGATTTTAATTAGAAATATTGAAAATAATAAAAAAACCAGACCCCCATGGGTTTTTGTTTTGAGATATTTCACGCATGATGGTCTCGGGTCAAAGCCAAGGACTTTCAATGATAACTTTAAACTATTCTTTACTGGAATTCTGGATTCTTTCTCCTGGGCTCTGTAGTTTACTTGATGACTAGAACCAGTGAGGTCCCAATGGTCTCCTTAGTTGTGTCCACACTAGTTGGATTCATGATTCTTGAAAACGCCGTAGCGGCAATCGATTAATTTGTGAATTTTCGGCTCAAAAAATATTTCCTTTTATAACCTCCTTCCTTTTACCTTGTTATAAATGTTGCTTCAGAAAATGTTCATTGTAGTTGCTAAAACATTGTAATAAATATTATTAAGCTCTTTTTAAGAATGCGTTGAAAATAAAATTTCCTGTAATAATTTTATGTTGCTAAATATTTTATGTTCTTCATTTCTATTTTGTGCCGAAATGCGTGCATGCTATTAATTAAACTGTATTAATAAAATTTGCAAATAAATGGTCTCTACAAACAAACAATTCCCATTGTGTTTTAAAGATAAAAAAGATGTGAAATGGCACCAAACAAATTTACGGAGAGCCAGAAAATAAATCCTAAAACAAAATTTTGTAAAGAATATCTCTTTAATATTTGAATTTTTATTTTATTTCAATTGGTAGGTGTTTTGAAAGTTATCATTAGCCCTTTAGCTGACTTCAGATTTCACAGAGAGGATGAGAAACATCAAAATGACAAAAAATTCTGGAGGGGGGACAGAATAATGACTAATAGATGTGAAAGAGCCTGACAGGCACAAAGGTAGAGGAAAGGTTGGCTGAGTACTGTGGAAGGGGTCGAATATGACATTCGGTAGGGTCATGGTAGTTTGAAGTGAGAAGTCAACTGCCGGTTTGTAGACTTTTTTGCCGTATGAGTATACGTTTCCTAGGATGCACCACGTGGAGGTAAGTCAATCGAAGGCCCCGCTCTTTAATATATATTTGCAGAGAGCGAAGCCTAAAGAATTGAAGCACTTCTTAACTCTTTATGCGATTTATAGTTGGTGGTCTACCTTCAGACGATCAGAGCTTCCCACAACAAATAGCTGAGAGGTCATGAGTTATGCACAATCTTTCGCCTGTAAGAGTGGTGAATGCCTACCCACAAGTTAAAAAGGGGTCACCCTGAGGCCCAGCTTTGTCAATTTTGTTAAAGTCAAATTGTTCTCTCAACCGGGGTCTAAAAAAGAAATATTAAGTAGAAAAATATGTGAGCGTCTTCAGCCATTCAATAAGATTGCGATATTGTTTTTGTGAATATCTGGTATTAGCTTCTGGTCTACAATACTTGTGTACTAGATGGCGTGGTTGATAGATTTGTCTTCGTGTAATTCCTCTTTGGCAACGTTTCTTGTATTGTTCACTGAATGAGAGTGAAATAAGAATTCAAATTACTTATGAATAAAGAGCTACTGCTAAAATCATACCATAATTTCATAATTAACCCATATAGTAGACTAAACAAAATTGTGAAAATGAGGCCTATTTTGTGCCGAAAATGCCATTTTCTCTTTCCACCGACACTCATCACAATTTTAATGTCTTCTTGAAGCGAAAATTGATAGGGACTAAAAGAAACCATGCAAGATTACTATCACAAACCCCAGTTGTCTGAAATAATATTACAATGGGTGCACAATAACTATGCTATTATTGTTGCTGTAATCTAATAAAATCTTAAATAAATTATTGTTATCGAATAAAATAATATTTAAGTATTTATTAATGTTACGAAATTAGATGAATTATATTGTTAATGAGATTGTAAGCCTGTTAAAGATGGGGTCGATCATTTCGTAATTAATTAAAGAGATTGGTACTGTTTTCCGCTCAGTTTCTCCTTAGTGTAAATGTCTACCATTGTTTGTTGATGTCTTGATGCGCACAACGATGAGACCTTAGTGTCAACGATTAATCAAATAAATCAGAGGGAAAACTGGAAGTTTGCAGTTGCGAGTTAAAATATTTTTCATTTTTGGGGTGTGCGACAGACTTACCCCCACGTGGTGCATCCTGGGCAACGTATACTCATACGACAAAAAAGTCTATAAACCGGCAGTTGACTTCTCACCTCAAACTACCATCACCCCCCACTGAATGTCATATTCGACCCCTTCCACAGTACTAATCTTACCTTTCCTCTGCCTTTATATCTGTCTGACTCTTTCACATCTATCAATCATTACTCAGCTAAATGGCTAATGTTAACTATCAAAACGCCTGTCATTTGAAAGAAATAAATATTAGTCAAGCTGAAAAAATTATAATGCGTATCAAACACTTCTTTGGTGTATTCGAGCAAACTATAGATAACTGAATGTGATAATAATCAAGCTATAATATTTTTTCCCAATATTCAAGAAAGTAGAGATAAAGTGGAGTAACAAAATGTCCCATTAATTCAAGTTTTAACTTTCTTTTAAATCATTTTTTCAAGAAATCGCAGATTGCGGACTGATCATTATGGGCGTTGCCGAAATCATTGTGAGAAGTTAAACTGAGGTTCTTTGGCACATTCTCAGCCACATTTGTAAACCACCAAAATACTAGCATTTCAACTGCAGATCACAACCAATCAAAAGACTGGCAACTAAAAACCCTTCACATGCTTACAGACTGATATTTTAACACTATTAACATCTTCTGCCATAGTCCCATTGTCCATGCACTCTCCCATTAATAGTCTCTTTAACTCATTCATACAATCATTCACAGCTACGTTCACTTTTACGAAACACCCATTTTTATTGGTTTGTCGTTTTGAAGGGCTGCATTACATTAAATATTCACTTCAGTTAAAATTAATATCAACATATCTTTAAATTGAACATTAAAATTACGCATATCTTCAATTTTCGATTTGCTTAGATCCGCTAGGTAGGAAAAATTATACTAAGAAAATAGGCCATTTATTATTCAAAATAAATAGAAACTAATCATTTGGAATTGCAGATATTATTTTTTACTTCGATTGATCCTAATCTAAAAAATGTATTTCATTGGCTCATTTCAGGTTGCGCAAATATGAGAATTATTTATTGTTTTAAGCATAAAACGGGTAAGCGAGCTTATTCATTTGATTGAGTTGGAAAATTATCATTAAGGAAGTTGAGAAGCACTGCAAATTGTAGGAAAACGAAAGAAGAAATAAAAGACTCATGTGATGAGGACAATATTAGTGGGGGGGGGGGGGGTTAGTTTGAGATACGAAATTTCGGATTGAAACTAGCGTTAATGAAACCATTGGCCAATCGGAAGTTCCAAAAATATAACCGATACGATGGTTTGATTGGAGGAACTTAAGTTGATTAAAAGAACAGGTAACTATAAAAAACGGATATTTCAATACAAGTACGACGCGAATTAACGGTTTTATCAAGATTTTCTACCGCTATGGAGATATCAGAGGAGTGCTTAAAGATATCTCTCATCGTGTTCAACAGTATCGCCTCTGTAAGTTACAATTTTGAAATCTTCTAGTGAAGGTGAGATTGCTGGTATTATTATGGTTGCCTTTGGAATATTTCTTCTGATTCAATCAAATTCGTTTGGCTTTACTGGTTCGGAAAATTTAATCCCCATCTTCATCACAATTATCGGAGTAATTGTCCTAGTCATCGCAATTTTGGGATTCGTTGCGGCCATTACACTTAGACGCAGTTTACTCCTCGCGGTAAGATACGATTTGTTTCCTCAATAACACCTCTATCCTCTAGTTCGCTATTGCAATTGGCTTAGTCATTTTGGCTGAAATAATTGGAGGCATCTTGCTATTTGTCTACAGAGCCAAGGTAACGATTTAAATTCATTATTGATTAAGTATACTTAGTTTAAAGAAGCCCTTAAAAATTACTTCGGAAAACTTGTTGGAGGCATTTCTCAAGGTACAAATTCAGCTGCACAAAAGGCTTTACAGAAAATACAAAATACGGTATTAAATCTCTTTTTTATAATTGGCATATTTTAGTTTGGGTGTTGTGGAGCTTGGGGACCAAATGACTGGTGTGGAAAAGGAGGTGATTCAATGTGTCCGAAAGATAAGAATGAAGTTTGTTTAGTGTTTTGAATTAACCTTTTTCCTATCTGAATAGGGATGCGTTGATGTGATTTTTAAGTGGATACAAAAAAATTTAATTGCTGTTGGAGCAGTGGTACTTGTTCTTGCCTTGCTTGAAATTGGAGCAATTACAGCAGCTTCCTGTCTATACCGGGAATCTTAATAGGTTTGAAATATCCAATTATTAACTTTTTTTAAATCTTCATTCAGGAGCATCTCCATTTTCATAACAAAAGACAATTGGCTTCTCCTTAACAGGATTATCAACTTCATCAACAACACTTCCCGTTTCTTTATATTTAATGCTAACATTTTACTTAATTCCTTTGTCAAAATTATTTTAAGTGCCTCCTACACAAATCGTAATTTTTGTAAACATGTCGGAGAAAGAGGCTAGTAATTGTGCGCAATAATAGTTTTAACTTCAAACAACTTTCCTTTTGTGAGGAAATTCGAACCTGTTAAGGTTCGTTGTTTTAATTACATTACCCGATATAGTAAATTGAATTAGTATATCACTTGTGGATATGAAAGTCCTACTTTGCAAAAAGGCGTTTTGCGAGGTGAAAACTTAGTAGATCCCGTAACTTCAAACGGTTTTCATCATTAAATTTAAAAACAATAATTATGTGCCATTTTGAGCCCGCTGTTGGTTAAAAAGTTAAGAATATTGATATCTCCTAATTGTTCAACTACGCAAAAACATCACATTACGGAGGAGGTAAAATATGTAATAATTTGGGCATCAAAAGTGTTACGATAAAGCAAAATAGATTAACCACATTCAATTAACACTGGAACTCTCAATGATATTTGACTGAAGTGATTTCAATTGCCCTATTAGTTTGGGATGATTAGGAAACAGAATAAAAATTAAATCATTGTAACACTTCTCCTTGCCCCGCTGTGTTCGTAGGTGCTTTTGGTAACATTAATAACTTGAAAAACTCTAACCTACTCATTATTTTAAAGTAGAGTAACCATAGATATTCTGCTTGGTTTTATTTTTTGATTCAGGTTAAATCACAACAGTTCAGATTGATTGGTACATCAACGTTTATTACAGCTCTTGGACGTTTAGTACTTACTGTTACGTTGCAATGGTTAGCAAAATTAGATAAAACTATTTAAATAAACTGCAAAAACCAGAATTGAAACACGGGCTTGTAAAACGCAGAGTATGCTTCCATTTCTATTTTCTAGTAAACCTTTATAGACAAATTATCACGGACTGATTTTCTAAAATATTGCAAAAAGCAGATCATTTCGGCTGTGAACCAAGTGCAAATAGAACTTGCACATACTGTGAAACCACAAGTACCTCCTTGTCTCTCATTATAACTCTCACAACAGTTGGGATTTCTTCGATGCTCAACGACGTCTTCTAATTGTTGGGTGCACAGCCCACTCGAGATCTGTTGACCTTGTCATCGTCTTCCGCAAGAGGTAGTCCCTTTTTGTAAAAATCGTTTTTTGTCGAAATAGGGGTTTATTTACTTATTAGAGGAACACCACAGCTATATGACAGACTTGCAAACAATCTGAGTATGTAACTGAAATGTTAAAAATTAAATTAAATATAATAAAAATATGATAACTCTTTTTAACATTCTTTGCACAGTTTTTAAGAAAAGTCAATTCAATTTTTTAGCATAACCAATGATTATCTTCTTAAGGACTATTTATAACAAGTAGGCAAGATTTTTGATCGAAATCTCTCAAGAAAGTGACTTCAAATGATTCCCTGAGCTATGGTGCTATCTAGTGCTAATGAAATCAAGGAGATTAACTCAATCTCACTGGTTCTTGTAATTAACAATACTACAGAGCTGACTAGAATGAATCCGGAATGACAATTTATTGGTGGACATTTAAGTCTCAAATTACCACTGAAAAGGCGCTGACTGTTATCATTAAAATTCCTTGCTATTGACCTGAGATCGTCGTATTCATATATTTCAAATAGCAGGCAGCTGGAATCCAATGCCCACTGTTTCCTTAAGCTCGTGGGCCCTAGCTCTACTGGCATCAGGGAGCTTTAGGATTCTGGAAATATTTATTTATTTCAAATGGCAGGCGTTATGTTAAGTATCACTAGCCCTTTAGTTGACTTCGGGCTTCACAGAAAGGAAGAGGAACATCAAAGTGAAAAAATCGAGAGGGGGACAGAATAATGATTCACAGACGTAAAAGAGACAGACAGACAAAAAGGAACCAAAAGGTGAGGTGAGTGTTGTGCAATTAGTCGAATATGAAAGGCGGTGGGATCTTGGTAGTTTGAAGTCAGAAGTCAACTGCCAGGTAATAGACTTTTTGCCGTATGAGTATACGTTGCCCAGGGTGCACCACATTTTGCCGTATGAGTATGCGTTGCCCAGGGTGCACCACGTTTAGACTTTTTTGTCGCATGAGTATACGTTGCCCAGGGTGTTAGACTTTTTTGCCGTATGAGTATACGTTCCCCAGGGTGCAGTTAAAAGACTTTTTGCCGTATGAGTATACGTTGCCCAGGGTGCACGGACTTTTTTGCCGTATGAGTATACGTTGCCCAGGGTGCACCGCGTGGAGACAAGTCTATCGTACACCCCGAATGTTAAATTATAATGGTCCACAAAGTATGACAGAAGACATAATTTAATAAATCAAAATAAATATATAAATAAATTCCTATTTTGTCAAAAAGGATTCTTTGGACTTAAAATGAGGAGGACGTTGACAATGACATTAATTTCATCAAATGTGTAGCGGATTGCTACTTTAGTAAAGCCTTGACTGAACTCAGAAACCCCTACTATGGGTTCGCAGAAGAAACAGACGTATTGCGGGAACACGTTTATTCACTAGACAAGTCGCGCAACTTGTGTACACAGGAAGGAAACTCAGTCATACAACATGGCGGCTATTGGCTGCGTGCTCTTGTCCTCAATCCGTACGCGGGTTATACGGCCGCACCTCAAGCCTATGTGCATGCGCATGCGATGACGTGGCCCACAAAAGATCTAGAATGAGCTTCGCACTCAACAATTAACAGACGTTGTTGTGCATCAAAGAAGCCCCAACTATTGTAAGAGTCATATTTACTGACAAGGAAATACTGTTTCAAGGCATATTCACTTCTCCATTGCACATGGCTCACAGCTAACTTGACCGGCATTTTCCCCGTATCTGAGAATGTGAAATAGCGTAGTTGTTTTTCGTTGCTTTCGCTTCAAATAGTTTCTCCAAATTCGCCATTCTACTTTAACAACTACAATATAGTACCTGAAAATGTCTCCCCCGCCAGCTTTCACCATATTCTACACCGCTGAACAAATGGTTTTAATGTAAAACGATTTTTAAACATCCTGACCAATAACCTAAATGTTGTAATCATTAGATAATACTCACAATTTGAGAATAAAAGAATGACATTATGGTTAAGTGATGGGATCTCGTTCATATTTCTTCTAAAAATCCCTCTTTCCGAAATCGATTTGTTGAGTAAAGTGGTTCTCAGAAAGTTCCCAGCTTTGCCAGACCTTATCTTAGTATAATCCCTGGATTACAGTTGTTTGAATAGTCGAGGAAAGTGTGTCAGGCAACAGAGAAGTCTGTTACAGCCAATATCCTATGTTTTAAATTTAATTTATCTTTTTGTCTTGTATTGGTACCTCATATGACCCTACACCTTCACCAATTGAAAATGCATTGATTGAAGCAGTAAAAAATGATAATATATGTGCTATATACCAAGTCGAGAACAGCGTAAATTGTATAGAAGGCAGTAAAGAAAACACGTCTTTACCGTCCACATGTGACAAGTAAAGTGCAACCTGGATGCACTTTAGAGCAAAGATTTGACAACCATGCTCACTATATCAAGATCCAAAAGAGATTTTTTTGAGGTTTTTGGATTGAGGTAAGGAAAATACTCCACTACTAGAATATCAAAAGCAGTGCCTGATGAAATTTATCACATTCAGCCCCATAGGCACTAATTGTTCTATTGAAAGCCTCGGAGGTGAAATAGGATTTGCATTAGGGAAAGATTTATCTAAGTAAGAAGAGGTAATTAATAACAGTAACACATTGCAAGCAAAGGAAGACTTGGCAAATTCTGGCGCAAATCAGATCATAATATAGATACTTGATGTTCAACAAATCAATGCCAATTGTATGCTTTTATTCCACTGTGGCACAAAAGATTAATTTTATTGTCTATATATTTATTTCAAATGGCATAGATTGTACAGGGTGTAACCTGGGAATTGGTAATACTTTGTTTGTCATCCGAAATGTTTGCTTCCATAATTGTGAAAAGGGTCTTCATCACTTTCAGGATTTTCTGTATTTGGATCTTTTGTCCGGAGACAGGTTTGCTTCCATAATTGTGAAAATGTCTACATCAAAGTTTAGGGATTTTCTGTACTTGGATCTTTTTGTCCGGCGACATTCCTGATTCCATAATTGTGAAAATGTCTACATCATAGGTTTGTAGCCTTTTCTGTAGTCCACTATGAAAATATCTACATCATAGGTTTGTAGGATTTTCTGTTCTTGCATCTTTTTGTCCTGTGACATCCCTCCAGCATTCCACTGGAGGATCTGAAGACGTTGTGATTCGCCCTGACGAGGGCGATTTTTCTTATAGCCTTTTTTAAAGCTAATCATAATAAATCGAAGTCAGATTAAATGCTGAGTGATAGACTTTTTTGCCAGGGTGCACCACGTGGAGTTAAGTCTATCGCGCACCCTATGACGTCAATGATTGATATCCCCTATTGCATGTAAGTTTAACGCAGTGTTATCTTTAGACCATCTTTAAAATCGTACATTAGGGAAGAAAATAAGTTTAATAGTAATATTAATATTAATAGTGATAACACGAAAAGAAAGGTCGAATTTAATGTCGAAAGCGTGGAATTCAAATCAGCTTTACAAGTTAAATTTCATTCATGCTGAAGTAAGACTGAGGTCATTTCAGTTTGTCTGGGAAGTAAGTAGCACAAGGACGAATCAAGGAGTCATGAAATCATAATAAAAAAATAAAGAGCATAGCGCCAAGCACGAGTTGCCTTGAAGCACTTGTCAAAAAGGTCTTCCAGTACCCGATTTTTCAGTTGATTTATGTTTCAATTCCAAAAACATATACTAATGCCATACTCGAATCTCTTCAAAGATTTT